CCTTTTCCATCATTTCGGCCGAGACGTTGCATGCCCTCTGTCCGCAGGGGGGACCCCATCTGCACAAGCCACAGGATCTCAAGTTGAGGGACTTTAATAAAAACCCAGTGGTGGTCCAGGGCTGGGGCAAGTTCCAAGTACAGTTTAAAGGCTTTTCGGGGTTGTTGGAAGGGCACCTCTCTAATTTGCTGGGCCTTTCCTGGTTCGGGCCCCTGGGACTTAACGATTACTGGAGTAAACCAGATCTGGCTGCTGGACTTCACAGCCGTGTGTGCGGAGTTCCCTCAGGTATTCGATGGGACTCTGGGGAGGTACACCGGGGGGGGGGGCATTTTGCTGGACCTTGACCCCAACATCCAGCCCATCCGTATAAAAGCCCGTCTTCCTCCCATTGCTATGAAGCCTAAAATTGAGGCAGAGCTTGATTGCCTGGTCGAGCAAGGGATGCTGGAACCGGTCGCATCCCCGCAATGGGAGACCCCCATCGTAACACCGGTAAAGCCTAACAGGGATGTGCGTATATGTGCAGATTATAAATACACGATAAACAAAGCCTTACAGGACCATGCTTACCTGGTTCTGGTGGTAAGCCACGTCCTGGCCATGCTGGCGGGGGCGCGAATTTTCAGCAAGCTGGATTTGGCACAGGCTTATCAGCAGTCACCGTTCGATGTGACCTCTGCGGAGGCGCAGACTATCACTACGCACAGGGGGGCGTTTAAAGTCAATAGACTACAGTTTGGTGTGTGTGTGGCCCCGGGGATCTTTCAATCTTTTATGGATTCCCTGCTCAAAGGCATCCCAGAAGTACAGCCGTTTTTAGATGATGTGATCATCATGGCACCGGATCCCGCTACCTTCGCTGATCGGCTCTGGGCAGTGCTTCAGAGGTTCGACTCCACCGGCCTCATGGTAAAGAAAGAAATGCCTCCTTGGGGTGCCCCGCATCGAGTTTCTGGGGTTCGCGTGGATGCCCAAGGGATCCACCCCACAGATGATAAGGTTAAGGCAATTACGTAGGCCTCCCCGCGGTGGTGGAGCACAATTACGCACAAGTGGACAAGGAGGCGCTGGCGATAGTGGCGGGAGTAAAGAAATTCCACCACTATCTCTACAGCCGGCCCTTTACAGTGGTGACGGACCATAAGCCCCTTCTGGGTCTCCTAGCCCCCAACCGTCAAACGCCCCAGATGGTTTCACCCTGGGTCCTACGCTGGTCCATTTTCATGGCAGGCTACACATACACGCTCATCCATCAGTCTGGGGAAGCCATGGGACACACGGACACTTCTGCTGCCCACGGTGGACCCAGCCCCAGCCCACATGTTCGCCCTCTTTGAAGCTCTTCCTGAGCGCCTGGTTCATGTCAGGGAGATCGCCCGCCTCACGGCCCAGGCAATGAACATTTTCCTCATGTTCTAACACCTCATATCTGTTGTTATCACAAGGAATAAGATAATCCCCTTCAACTTCGAGGTTGTTAGCAAAATCACTTGTCCGTCTCCGTACTTTTCAGAAACAGATTTTTGAACTGGTAATGCTACTCCCTGAAATTTGGGGTAATGAAACTGGTGCCCTCCCTGGAATCTGGATCTAAAATTATTATAAATTTTTTTTAGGGGTACAGCCCTAGTCACAGGCAGGCATACCTTGAAGGGTTCTTGTGAATAAGAAAGGTGCAGGGGAGGGATGAACAATGAACTCTGCCCGGAACTTCTTGTCAGGAAGATGTGATGACCTTGCAAAGCTAGGTAATATCTACTGAGGTGGGGCTCTGACGGACCACAAATGTGGAGGAACTTCTTAAGAATTAATCTGATGTCTTTATGTGTCCAGTCTTAGAGTACAATTACATTTATGGATACATAACGTTCTCAGAATTGCTATTCTACTGTAGGCACTTGGCTTACAGGGTGCTGCAAGGTCCCATTTTATCTCCCAGGGTCCTGTACATCTTCATGAAACTGCTGGGAGAGGTCATCTAGGGCTAGGGTTGCCATCCCACAGGTCCCGGTGGGGGTTCCCTCGGGTTTGGGGGCTCCAATCTGCCACCAGCCAGCTGGCCAGTGGGGGGGGGATGCCTCACCTCTTGGGCCGGCCCATGTGTGTCATAAAACGTAATGCCAAGTACCAGAGATATAAACTGTATAAAGGACAGCAGCTGGTAAGCTCCGAGTTGGTGTATCATCACTGCAAAGCTTCATGGGCTGGGAGGGGAGTGTAAAGGAAAACCTGTAAGGGTGAACTGAAGAGCCAGCAGTGCAGCACTGGGCAGACGCTCCCACGCTGCTTGACTGCTGCAAACAAGGTTGTTCCATGCTGAAGCCACAACCCCCCCCCCCCCCCCCCCGTGGGCCAATCGCCCCTTTTCCCTCAGGCAGGAAAGAGTAGCCCATCCTAAGCTGAGAAACAAAACTAGTCTCACGGTTAATTAAAGTGGAGACACTACACAGGCAGGAGTACAACGTCAGAGATAACAAGGGGAGAAGCGAGAGAAAAGGAATGTGGCACCAACTCGTACACAGGTCAGGCAGGCGAACTCCAGGCCTATAAACCATATGGCAGCCTAGCTGACGACATGATGATGTCACTCTGCATCACATTGGGGCTGTCCCCACCCCCCTGGAATGCCCCCCCGAAGTCCCCTGCTGGGGACTCGGAAGGACCTGGAGACCCTATCCAGAGCCTTGCAATAGTGCTGTTAATGTGCAGAAGACATACAGCTCTCTTCCCCTTCCAGCGATGTTTTCGGGTAGTAAAACTGGTACTTAATCCAGACAAGACGAAAATGCTGATGGTTGGTGGTAAAGCTGATCTGGCTTGGACTGCACTCCTGAAGGACCAATTTTGCACTCTAGGAGTACCCCTGGAATTGCCACTGTTGCCTCAGAGGCAGATGATGACGTGATCAGAAGTGCATTTCACCAGTTTGGGCCGGTTCACTAAGCGAGAGTGTTCCGGGGTGGGGGGTGGGGGGGAAGCTGACTAGGCCACTGTTTTATAGCTGGCTTGGAAACATCGAGTGCAGCATTGTGATAGTGCATTCTGAAATATACTGTGTTCAAATCAGTGATCAGTTCATACTTATTAGTGATTTCAGCAGGACAGAAAAGAAAGACTGAGAGCCCCTGGCCGAAGCCAGGTTATATGCATGCAAAAGGTAACACCCAAACGCACACACCCAACTCCCAACGACAGGCTGTTTACAAGTCCTTATCTGTCCATTGGTCTACTCTAGGATCCTTGCTTCCCTATTGGTGTCTTCTAGGGTCCTATCCAGCTATTGTTATGGATCTTTAGCTGGCCTGACTAACCCAACACATTACACATTCCTTGTAGTGCTGCTGGAAACATCAGTAAGAACAAGACATGCCTGCAAGGAACTTGACTGAGGTCTGCTGAGGAAATCATACGATGCTGGGGGATGACGGGGACATGGGACCCAGCTCAGATTGCCTTTACAGCCCCGAGTGGGGAAGGCCTCCACCCACATGAGCTGCCCGTGACCTGAGATGCAGGAGTTGCTGGTGGTGCCTTTCCTGCGTGAACAGAGGTGAGGCTGGTGTGGCCAGGCCTTTTCCACTGTGTCCTCCGCACAGGCCATTTCCCTTTAAGTTCTGGCTTTCCTGAGACTTATTAAAAACTCCTTTTCTCCCCAGAGCATTTTCTTGGAGGATTCTGTTTGGATTTGTTGTCTTTAATCTGTCCTGGATTACACTGTTAATTGACTGCTTTTTACTATTGGTTTATAACAGTTCCGAGTGTGTTCTGCTGTTGGTCACTGTTTGTTCTAAGGTTTTGTACTATAATACTTTGAACATGTTTTTAGTCCTAATTTTTATGTTGTAAACCATCATGAGGGCTAATTTTAATATAAATAAAGAAAATATATTTTTTGTAAGTGAAGTTACTTTGTCCTTACAAAGTCTTGCACTTAAGACCATAGTTTTTGTTCGTTCATTCTACAAAGATTTGTTCGTGAGAATCCTTAAGATGAGATGTACACTATCTCTTCATATTATAAACATGCACAAATGGAAAGTTGCCGTATGTAAAATCTTCAAGACATGATATGTCCCAAAGTAGGAGAACAGATAAATTGTTTTGTATGAGGATCATTATTTCATTGTCAGTGCTGTTAGCAAATCAACAACGTTTGGAGGGAAGACGTGTATTTATTGCAAGTGTGAAATCCTCCTGCTACCAGTTCTAAAACCTCCTTAGCCTTTAATTACGGGTGGGAAGGAGTTTGTCTTAGTTAGACAATCTAGCACCTAGTGACTACAATATGCATTCCAAGTCAATGGGAGATTTTTTTTAGTAAAGGTAGATAATGGTCGGTATGTATAGAGATTCTGTGTTCTATAATCATTTTTTTGGTTACAACTTTAATCCAGATTTCAGCGTAACAGCCTTGCAGAAGTGTCCAAGATCCACTGTTTCTGTCTCATCCCTTCATCTGATAGTATGTAGTAATAATTAACATGTATATGTACCATTGTTTTCCTGAAACCATACTTGTATTTCTTTCAAAAGCTGTATTTTCCTTTCGGCGTTTTCTGTTTTCATTTCCTAGCTCAGACTATACATATGGGTGCATTAGAGGAGAGTGCTTTCAGCGACCGCTTGGAAAGAGCCATCTGTCGGACAATAAAACTTACCAAAACTATGCTTCTCGTATAAAACATTGCATGAGGAAGGTTTTGTGTTGGACGTGGTTCCTTCTTAGCTTAGGGGCAAAAAAACAAGAACTGTACAGTCATCAGAAACCTGGAGCTGACTGCAATAAGGTCTCTTAATTAGGCTTTCTAAAGCCATGCTTTGTCTAGTCAGCATCACAGTTTTAATAGTTTCCTTTAATGCGACTGGCATACAAGTAATTCTCATGAACAGAGCAAAAAAAGTCAGACAAAGGCAAAATGCACTCGGCTCACTTGGAGATTCAAAAGGATGCGGTTGACCTTGGACCAAAGGGACCTTCGGCAGGAATAAATAGCAAGACTCCTCTTCTCCTCTCTTGCAGAACTGCTCAGCTGTGAGAAAAAGACAGGGCTCCTAGCTTATAACAGCCCCAGAGGAAACATCGGTGAGTAATTATGAAATCTTTTACTATATTACAGATGTGCTGTACACTGATTAGAATTGCATTTTTAAATTCACATTTATTAAAGCTCAAATGCACTGTAAAACAATGTTAAAGATTCCTGTTTGAAACAATAATCTAAAAGACTGCATTTCTATTATTTTGATGAAGTGCAATATTTCTTTAAATCTGACATTATGAAATATGACAGGTAAGTAATGAATTAAATTTGCAATGCACTAAATTGACTTTGAGTGTTATGCCATGAAATGTCTCTTGCAAACTAAAATCTAAAAGAAATTACGTCTGTAGGCAAAATAACACTATTTAATCTTGAAAAGCATAAACGTACCATTAGTGTCTTGCACTGAAATGTTTACTGACATAATTAGGCCAATATGCAATTCTGAAAAGACTGAAAACAGAGTAAGAAATGGATTTCAAAACACTCATAAGTAGAAGCATGTTTTCTTTTCTTTTAATCTGAAACATTTGATTGGAAATTCCAAGTTTAAATAATCCCACATGGAAATGTCTCTAAAACCTTATAATTACATTCCTAAAAATGGCAAGAGATGTTATCAGTGTACTATCTTGATGCTTTGGATTGCTAAATTAAAATTCATTTTTGTAACATACAGAGGCTCATGTGACTCTTCACCACCACCGGTCGGGAAATGGAAAACTTGATGCTCCTCTCCGGCTCCTGCAAAGTTACCACAACTCTCCTTTTGACCATTCTGGGCTCTGCCAGATGCCTCCCTCTTGACGATGACGACTCCGTCTGCACCGCAGAAGAGCTGGCAAAGTACAGCATCGTCTTCACAGGGAAATGGAGCCAAGTGGCTTTCCCTAAGCAGTACCCGCTGTATAGGCCACCAGCACAGTGGTCACCACTTTTGGGTAAGCGGCTCTTATGCAGTTTAAAAGTAAGTTTAACTCTCTAAAAGCACTTTATTATTTTTATTTTTTATTATTTATTAAATTTGTTAATCACCCTATCCCAGCTTACACTAGGCTCTGGGTGATGTACAGGGGGGCACAATGCCATAGAACATATAAAACATTAAAATTCTACAGAGCAATTTAATAAAACCCAAATAAAGTCCATGATGATGGCGTCCTAGAAATTTCTTCCCCAACTCTGGAGTACCAGGCCAGTTTCTGGGCAGGGGGAGAGGGAACTCATAACAGCAGGGGAAGGCCTCTTTCCTGAACTCTTTGTAATCGAGTTGAATCCAAAGTGCTAGAACTCAAGAGACGTGCAGTATCGGTGCAACATTTAAAATCTATCTGTCTTCATTCGGTTTCTGTTCTCAGTTCACTGCAGCTGAAGTAAACAGGAGACTCCGCAGTTCTAAACAGAAACTCTCTCTCTTCAGCAAGAAAGGAGAGAAACACCATCTATTACATTTTTAAGTAAATTCAAGCCAGACTTTCAGCTATGGCAATGTCTTCCTTTGTCCAGGCGTGGTCCATAGTTCTGACTACAACATGTGGGGAAAGGATGAGTTCGCCAGCAATGGTATGCGTGACTTCGCTGAAAGAGGTGAAACATGGACGGTAATGAAGGAAATAGAAGCAGCTGGAGAAAAAATCCAAAGTGTTCATGGAATCTTCTCTGCTCCTGCCATTTCCTCTGGTACAGGTCAAACCTCTGCGGATTTCGAAGTGCATTCAAGACACCCCCTTGTAAGTAGGGAACTGCACATCGGTCTGCTGTGTATGAGTAAACAATGTATATTCTTTCTTTCTTTCTTTCTTTCTTTCTTTCTTTCTTTCTTTCTTTCTTTTTCTTTTTTTCTGTCCTACCCTTCCTTCCTGTAAACTCTGCTCTTCCCAAAGGGGCTCACAAGAGATTAAGAACGATTTAGCACAGAATGAACTAAGAGAATGAATAAAAGCAGCACTAGCAAAATGTAAAAGTCCACCGTATGGGGAAATAGTGGCTCATCAAAACCAGCCGTGTTTGAAGTATCTTACTTGGAGGCAGCCAGATTTAAAGTGGGTTATTCTCTCATCGGCTCACTGTTCACACTGGCTTGTTTACATCCAGATTTGTGATAACGATAATCAGACCAGGCACAGCCATGCTCGGTCAACTATTTGAAACAGGGTTTTGCTTAAAAATTCCTAGGTTTCTTTTGCAGTAAGAATTGTGCCCAGCCCGGACTGGTTCGTGGGCATTGACAGCTTAAACCTGTGTGAAAAAGATCACTGGACAGAGCAAATATCAGTGGAACTTTCCCCGTACGATGCCGGGACTGACAGTGGCTTCACATTTTCCTCCCCCAACTTCGCTACTATCCCACAGGAGCCTGTTACAGAGGTAAGTCCAACACTTCTTGTCCTCCTGCTTCATTCGTATGGCTCATTCTGTCAGGCAGTATCCTGATGTCAGGACCATTCTTACGATGGAGAATTTGGTTGGTGTCCGGCTCACGGTTCTCACCCCCAGCCTCCGCCTTCCTCTGGGGCATGAAGCTCGACAAAATGCTTCCCAGTTTGAAGGAGCTCTGTGATTTCTGAATGTGGACATCTCAACAATTGAGGTTTCTAAACTGGGACTCAACCGTGCAATCCTTCACAGAGTTATAGCCCTCTCTTAACCTCATCAGACCTCAGAAGCTAAGCAGGGTCAGCCTTGGTTAGTTCTTGGGAGGGAGACCACCGAGGAAGTCCAGGGTTCTTACACAGAGGAAGGCACCAGCAAACCAAACTCTGTTCGCTCTTGCCTTGAAAACCCTGCAGGGTCGCCAGAAGTTGGCTGCAACTTGATGGCACTTCTCACCACCGCTAAGTCCCTCAAATTCAGTGGGCTTAGAATTCTGTTTCGGACTGTCATGTAAATTGTAGATTGTCATCCAGGGAAGCAAAGTTTACTTTCCCGAAGTGCCTGTGTTCAGTTATGACAAACTAGAGTCTCAATCAAATGGAGAATCATTCAGTCTAAAGCTCTACACGCTAGACGTGGAAGGAGGTGGGAGAGAAACATGTGAGCATCATGAGTAAGTTGTGCTTGTGCATAACACCAACAGACATTTGCTGTGATAGCTGAATGCAGCCAAAATTATAGCCTCACAAAGCCAAAGAAACGCAAGCCAAGCAGCCGTTATGACAATGGATGTGGCCAGCTACAAATGAGGGCAAAGAGCTCACCAGTGTCTAGACACAGAGCAGGGAGTTATTCTGCCATTGTGATGACACGGGTCTTCAACAGATGTAAAAGGTGCAGAGCACTGAAACTGCTGGGGATTTTCAGACAGAGGAAATAAATCCGGAGAAAATGAAGTGCTGAATCAGATCTCTTTGGAAATTCACCAGAAAAGTTTGCTAGTGAACTGGTTAATGGGCAGATTAACCATTAAGCAGACTAAGCACATGTTTAGGACATCAGGGTCAAAGGGGGCACCACAAAGTTGGGGAAAGGGTGAAAAGAAAAAAAACTAATGAAGATTTGTAAAAAAAACTTTTTGATAAGGCTAGTGCACATTGATCATGGTGCACCCTAGGGTTATCTTCTATTTTTTGCTGGTGAGGTCGCAGTGTCATAGGCTATGACACAAAGATTGGGGGCACCAAGATAGGTCTGTGCTTAGGGCACCAGCGAGCCTTAATCCGCCCCTGCTGGTTAAACTTGACTTTGTCATGTTACGTTTTGAAAAAACGTCTCTCTAAGCAGCTTTAGTTCCTAACCCAATGCTGAGTTTGCTTTCTGTCCAAGGCCGATGCCGGAATCAGGAGTGAGATTGCTCTTGAACAGCCCTGTTGCTGAGGGCAGCCGTGTCGGTCTGCAGGCGAACAGCCAGGTCGGAGTCCAGGACAGCACCTGAGAGCCCCACAAGGGTTTGGGGGGGGGTCGGCTTTCGAGAGCCGGAGCTCCCGTCTGAGGGATCTTGGGAGGGCTGCCAGGGCTCGGGCCGTAGGGATTCATGAGCGGTCGGAATAAAGGGGTTAGGCTGGAAGAACTCTGCGTAGGATTGCACTGTAGATCTTGTAAAGCAAAAGCTCTTTGTCATGATTTTAAGCTGCGTTTCAAATGAATTTTAAAAACTGGTTGATGTTAGTATTGTTGAATTGCTATATGTGACCATTGATATTTGGGAACAGACATTAATAAATGTTGGAAATCAAAAAGGAGTTACTAATGCGGCTTATTTAATCTTTATATTTACGTTATTCCTATCCCGCCTTACTTGCTGAGGCTCTAGGCAGGTTACAGAGTAAAAGCAGCAAACTGATAATGGCACAACAAGGCATCCAGTGTATAATGGCTACAATACAGAACTAAAAGGCAACGTTGACTTTCACACACAGTGGGATTATGCGCTTTCAGAGCACGGTAGTGATCATTTGCAACTGGATTTTCCAGTGCAAGAAGAAAAATCCACTTGCAAATGGTTCACCAAAGTGTACTGACCATGGCCATTATTCAGCGTGTCTGGAAGCAACCTACACGTGACCAACAAGCTTTAGAATTGCTGTTCTGTAAGCATACATGCAGTGGAAGGGTGGGATTCATTCTGTTACTATTTGGCAACAACTCTGATTGGCAGGACAAATGAATAATGAATAATTGAGCTGCATGAAGTCACATTTTGAAGGCCTTTTAGGAGGTTCAGTTTTGGTTTCTAATGGGAGAATGTCTGTACATGACCTTTCCTCTAAGTGCAGCTGCTGTTTTGTGTGAATGGCGCAAGACAGATATTGGCCAGTTTGGTGTAGTGGTTAGGAGTGCGGACTCTAATCTGGGAGAACTGGGTTTGATTCCCCACTCCTCCACATGCAGCCAGCTGGGTGACCTTGGGTCAGTCACAAGTTCTCTCAGAGCTGTTCTCTCAAGGACAGTTCTGGAAAGAGCTCTCTCAGCCCCACCTACCTCACAGGGTGTCTTTTGTGGGGAGGGGGAGGGAAAGGAGATTGTGAGCCGCTTTGAGACTCTTTCAGGTAATGAAAGGCGGGGTATAAATCCAATCTCTTCTTCTTCTGCTAGTGCTGCCAGGGCACGCGTTGGGCACACATAGCTTCCTTCCACCTCTCTCATCTGTGGAGATACCACGGCTCTTCTCTGCTTTATAAGAAATGGCGACAGATTGCTTCAGTGTATACCGAGAGTACAGGGAGGGTATGCCTACAGAGTGTGTGTGTGTGTGTGTGTGTGTGTGCGTGTGAACAGGAGTTTTATCTCTGCTTACCCAAAGTGGGAAGAGAAGCTCTGCACCATCCAGTCCGTTCCTTGTCCTCCGCAGGGTTGCTGGGAATGAGGGAATGCATTCTTGGCCACCCATGTCAGTGCATTTCTAGGCACTGCTGTCTTCCTTTTCTCAGGGAGGGGAATGAATTGTGCCTTACAAAAGGAGATACTTTGTCGTCTCCCCAGGGGGAAATGGGGCAGGCAGCTGCATCAATATCTATTGAGCTGTTCAGAGACATTGTTTTCCCTCCATGCAAAACAGCTTCCAATTATTTCCTTTGTGTTGGTTTCCAGCCATTTCCCCGCCCCCCCATCTCCCTTCCCCTTTCTTATCATGCAAGCTCGGAGCCTTTGAGGGCCAGGGTCATTTTCACACACAGACCACCCTCCACACACACCCCAGCTGTCTGGGAGCTGGCTCTGCTTCTTTGGGCCCCACTCCCCCCACGTCAGCCGACCTGCCTCTCCCCTACTTCTTCTGTACCGGTGTCCTTGCATTTGTAGGTGACTATTAGTGCTAGCAAAGTACGGGTAGCAACATCATGTCAGTTGTGAGAAACTGAGTGGCATTTTGTGTTCTGAATCCATTTGCTGACAAAACTCCAGGGCTGGAGCACCAGAAGTCGTGAATTAACCATCACCACCAACATGTGCAGCAAGCCCTTCAACCAAATCCTCTATCAGTTACTGCCAGGCTGCTTGTAGGTATACGGCACCCAGTTAATATCCGTTGTGTGTTTTAATTTGCAGATCACTTGTTCTTCTCCAAGTCACCCAGCAAACTCTTTTTATTATCCCAAGCTTAAAAATTTACCACCTATTGCTCGAGTAACCATGATAAAACTTAAAAGAAGCAAACTGGGGTTTCCTATTCCTCAGCCCAATGTGACTGTGATAGATAATGAAATAGAGGACACAATCTCGGGTAAGTGCTTAATTGTTTTAATAAAACAAAATGTTTTGTTTCTGAGAGCGTAGAGGAGTGTGTGGTCGTAGAATGCGGGGCGGTCGGAGCAGAAATGGCTGCTCTGTCATGAATAGGGCTGGTCAGCCCCCAGGTCCGGGTGGGGTTTCTCCTGCTCCCGAGGGCTCTAATCTGCCCCCCCCGACAGCTGGTCGCCCCCCAAGCACTGCTCCCAGCCATGGCACCCCTCTCCCTCCCTACTAAAAGATTTTAAGGGCTTCAGCTGATCAGCAGGGAGCATGGCGGGAATGCCCCCCAAATCCACCCACGGGATTGATGGGGGAACCTGGCAACCCTAGTCATGAATGACCTTGGGCCAGTTTCTCACCCCTTCCCCTTCCTTGCACGGTAACTAACCTGCCTCAGAGGAAGTTAACATGGACACACGGGGAGCCAGCAGGCTGTAGTGGACAGCCAGCGTGGTGTCGTGGTGTCGTGTCTAAGAGCGGCGGACTCTAACCTGGAGAACCAGGCTCAATTCCCTCTCTTCCTCCAGGTGCAGTTCTCTCAGAACTCTCCCAGCCCCACTGACCTCACAAGGTGCCTGTTGTGGGGAAGGAAAGGGAAAGTGATTGAAAGCTGCTTTGAGACTCCTTAAGGCAGGGTATAAAACCCAGCTCTTCTTCTACACACACAGTTGTACATTAGGCTCTGTGGAAAAAATGTAACATAGATAAGAAAAGGTGCAAAACAAAAGCCTTGAAATATTTCGTATGAAAAACTGGAAAGCGAGTAGCTTTGAGTGACTGCCAGGATTACCTTGAGGGAAATCTTTTGGTGGTGGATCCATCCCACAAATGGTTAATAGGGTGTATGCATTAACCCAATGCATTAACCCTCTCCCCTAGGGCCAGGGTGTGTGCATTCACCCAAATCAATGAGGAGCAGCAGGGAGACGCAGAGCACAGGACAAAGCCAAAAACGAAGGCGGCGCTCTGTCCTCTGACGAGTCTTTTCCATCTGGCTTGGCCTCTTACATCAGGAACAATGCCTCTGTGTTGCAGAAACTCCCCTGGACTGCGAAACGTCGCTCTGGTCTTCGTGGGGCCTTTGTAGAGGCACATGCGGACATTTGGGGACGAAGAGCAGAACCCGTTACATACATCTGCATCCTGCCAATAATGGAACACCCTGTCCAAACTTGAACGAAGAAACAGATTGTGAGCCAGACAATTGTGTCTGATATGGCTCTTTGGAACATTATTTAGATAATTTAAATGTCAGACATCCTTACTTCATCTATTTTGTGCCTGTGAATATGCTTAAGAGTTTAAAATAGTTGCAATATTTTGTTCATGTTATTTGATACTGAATTATGTTTGGTATCTACAAGTAAAAGAATTTCTTACTGTGAACCCCTGCAGCACCCCCCAGTGGTAGAAAATTTGAGCAACTCTGTAGTTCATTTTTCATTCACGTACCTAGAACACGCAAGCACCCCACATCTTCAAGAATTCGCCTGAGTCCCTCTTAATTATTTTGCTATTATTTATTGAAATTTATGGTGTTTTCTTTGCAATTATAATTAACACAGAAGAATGTACTTATTCAGAAAAAAAGAGTACATTTGTAGTATGATGATCAACAAAATGATACAAATTATGCTCTTCAGGGTACTCACTGTACAGAACAAGAGTACAATGTCCACATATAAATTCACCAGGCCTGAAGCTCCCCCCGGCATGCTTAACATGTAAGGTTAAAACTCTGTTGGTCTCAAAGGTACCTGACTGGCCTCAAACTTTGTTCTGCTGCTTCAGACCAACGCAGCTACCCACCTGAATCTACCTGAATCTATGTGATCTTGAGTAATTGTTGGCAGGATAATATAGGAGGGTTAAGAAACCAGACTATTTCCATTGAACAGAGTATTCCTTAAGACAGTGGTGCTCATTCCACTGCTCATAGAGAGCCGCATTCACAATTATTTATTATTTAAAAGGGCCAGTTTGGTGTCGTGGTTAAGAGCGGTGGACTCTAATCTGGAGAACCGGGTTGGATTCCCCACTCCTCCACTTGAAGCCAGCTGGGTGACTTTGGGTCAATCACAGTTCTCTCAGCCACCAAAATAAACCTAGCTTGCCACAAAAAAGAGCTAGAATTTCAGGCTACCAGACAATCTTCAGATCTCCTGGCTATACTGCACCCACTGCCATACAGTAATTAAAGTCAGCTGGGCTCTGAGAAGGAGCAGGAGAGGGAGCTGCTGCAGGAGTGCAGCATGGCTGGTGAGGGAGCTGAGGCAGTGATGTGCAAAATCTGTGGTGTGTTCGTATTTTTACCTGCGGGTAACAGCGATTAAACTTGCAGCAAGTGTATGTTGGTAGCCCTACTGGAAGAGAAGATACAGGGACTTGAGGCACGCTTGTCCACACTCCAGTTTATAAGGGAAGACAAAACACATGAAACACTGAGCGGGCAACAGGAGGAGGAAGAGGGAAGGTATCTCAGCAAATGGAGGAACACCCAACACAGGAGGAGGGTGCATAGAAGAATGTAATGCACAGGAACAGGAAAATCAGGAGATATTCTGAGCCTCTGTTGCTAAGCAATCAGTTCCAGGATCTCCCCACAGATATTGATTCTGGACCACTGGAACAAGAGCTCCTCCCCCAGCCTCCATGAAGGAAATTTCTCAGGCCCCTGTGGATCAGAGGACTCGAGCTTCTGCTCCCCAATATAGGAGAAGGTGTGTGTTAGTAATTGGGGATTCCCTACTGAGAGGGGTAGAAGCTAAAGAGTGCCGACTGGACTTGTAATCTCATCTCGAGAGGTATGCTGTCTACAGGGTGCATGCATCCAGGATGTGATGGAAAGGGTAGGAAGACTCATCAAGCCCATGGACTCATCAAGCTCATCCATGTGAGAACAAATGATACTGCCTGGCACACCCCAAAATGTATTAAAAGAGACTGTGTGGCTCTGGGTAAAAAGGCGACGGAATTGGGAGTGCAGGTTGTATTCTCGTCAGTTCTTCCTGTTGAAGGCCATGGCTTAGGAAGGGAAAGAAGAATACTTCAGATAAGTGACTGCCTACATAGATGGTGTCATCAGGAAAAGTTTTGGACCATGGCTTGTTAGCCAAATTGCCTTTATTATTAACTAGTAATAAGGCCCGTTGCAGCAAGAAACGCAACGAGCTCTAGAAAGAGGGCCTGGGAGAGTGCTCTGGCCTGCAGCAGTCGCCCCCCCCCCCCAAGCAACATGACTCTGGCCACCATGACTCTGGCTATGTGGCTTTTCCATCCCCCCACCCCCATATTCCTGCCCGGCTTCCTTCCTGGCATCCCTGCACCTTCAGGCCATCTCTTCCTTTGTCGAGAGAGCGGCCATTATCAGGAATGAGCTGCAAGTAGTTCTCCATTGTCAGACAGGGCAGTAACTCTCAGACGTAATAAGTCCTTTAATTGGCTTTATTGTAGAAAGTCAGTAAAGTTGCAGACAAGTCAAAAGCTTTGACAGAACTGACAAATAGTTCAAAGTTGGAATCTACAGGACCTCTGGTCCAGCCCTCATACATACGTCAGCATTGCATAGTAAAGTAGCAGGTTAATACAGTTCAATTAACTCAATGGGAATGTTTATCAATTGATACTCTCCCGAGGCCATGAGAAATGAGAAAAACGAAACTCCCATAGCCTTCACGGGGGAGGCACAACTTCACAGGATTCCTAAGCGTGGCTATCAATGTTCACACAGGCTGGTCTCAATCCCTCCTTCTCAGGAATGTCAGAGGAGGATACTTGCTGACAGATTGAAACCTAGCTAGCAGGTGTTACATGAGATTGGAGACTACAGACAGGGAAGAAGGCATAAGCAAATATGATAACATTCAGCAAAGCAAAGCTATGTACATCAGAGACTCAGACATGCATGTATAGTGACCCAATGACCAGGCAAGGGTCCGATTCTGACACCCATGTTGTTCTCCTGTTCTCTGCCTCCTTCGTCTGCAGCCATCACTGTTTACCCAGAGAGGTGCCTGGGAAGGCGCCGCTGGGGGAGGGAGAAGAAGGAGGTGGCACTTTAAAAGAGCTCGAACCCAGCTGGGGCTGCCGCCCCGCAGCGGCTCCTAGTGGCCAGAGAGACAGTTCTTCGTCCGTCCTCCCTGGGACATGAATCGCATGGGAGAGGGAAAGTTTTCTGTTCACTCTTCCACGTTTTTTAATACGTCTATCACAGGCAGAACCACAGCCAGGAAAGCTTTCCTCCCTGTGCCGATTCTCGATGTCAGGCCATCTACGGAATTCCTGGCCATCATGTGAGCCTCTCAGAAGGCACTGGAACCTTCTTGAACATTGGCCATTTGGGGTTTCAGCCCCCCCCCCCGTTATTCTCTGTAGCCCTTTTGAAGCACACGAACTGTTATAATAGTTACTCACCCTCACAACAAAACTAAAAGGTAAGGGCTCAATTTATGGGGCACGCAAGGGATGGAGGGGACCATGGGAGAGGACCAAAATAAGGACCCCCCTTCCCACCCCGACACCGCATGTGAGCCAGAGGGAAGGAGGCCCCAGCCATCCTCAGCCCCGCAGAGAGTCCTGTCTGTCCCTTCCGTTGGCTCCAAGCACACTGAGCCTGAGATGCTGGCCGCCGCTTCTGTGGGATGGACTCTGCAACACAGGCAGCCAATGCAGCCAGTGCCTTCTGAGTGGCAGTTCAGGCAGCCAACTGATTTTGGCATGCATAGAACTTTGCCACTCAAAAATGGAATTATGTATAAGGAGAGATAACTGTGGGGAATTATGAATTATTAAATGAATTAATTATGAATTATTAAATTAATCGGCATTAATTATAGGACCATATCCCACGTTTACCAGAGTTTGAATTTCCAGTTCCCAGGAATAGACACTGAGGATAGATTACTAAAGCAATGATTTCTTTACTAAAGGATTCTCACACATACAAATACAAAATCAAGCATACACACAAACAATACAGAGCTAGGAATTCAGATAGAAAAGTACAGAGACGTTTGCATTAGCAGGAAGTATCAGTGATGGGGTGATACGTTACCTGTTCAGTGAGGCAGGTTGATTCTGCAATGAAAAAGGGGATAAAATATTGGAAGGGGGCCGTGAGTTGACCAACAACACATGTGGAGAGGTCTCAAACTGCGCAAGGAATGGAACCAGCAAGATAGGGAGGGGTTAGGTGAGGCAAAAGCGAGAGAGAGAGAGCAATGGCTAGATGCTCTTTTTTCATTCCTAAAATGTGACCTGAGGCAGATACCAATGGTCACAAGGTCCCCAGGAAATATTAACCAAAAACTTAAACTATGAATGGGGCAGAAAAGGGATTAATGGTTGGGCAATTGCAGGTAATGTCTTGGCTAGGAGTGACACCTCTTAGGAGAATGGGATAGACAAAGGAAGAAAGGCAGAGAACCAATCAGGCTGCAGGGCTGGTGCTTTGGATTAATGACCAGATGTTTGACAGCTGCATTATCTTGATGGGCGGTGGGAAGACTTAATGGCTTGCTATTGTCATCATCAGGCACATCCTTTTGTTTTAGGCTGGAGAGGAATGTGCGTGTGGTGTTAATAAGTGGTGGTGGGGGGAGATACCTGCATGATGGAGAAGGGAGTTCTTCATGGCGTCTGTGCAGGAACATCTTGCCTTTCTGTGGAGCATGGCTTCCCTCTGTGATCTGCTGCTGTTTCTGCGTGTATGGAGGTCAGGGCTGCTGGTCTGTATTCTGGTGCTGGAGATGCAGGAGCAAGAAGCTTCTTGTAGTCCAGGAGTCCATGTCTGGCTTGGCGTGCTGCTTAGGCACAATGCTCCCCTTGGCCAAAAGCACATTCCTTTAGTCCAGGATAAAGGTGCCGCTTATGGGCCACAGTGCTGTCCATTGCCCTGACACATTCTTTTCCCAGTGCAGCAAGGCAGTCATATTTAAGAGTCTTTAGTAATGCCATCTGAAGTAACTGCATGGCAACAGGCTTACACTTCCGAGATGAAGCTCTTCTATCAGGAGATGATTTGCACCTCACGAGGGTAGGGAAAAACTTGTTTGGTGGTGTCAGGTACTTCAATAACTCAGCATCAACAGCAGGTCCTTAATCAGGTTCATCTTTATTGATCAGAGCAAGGTGAAGTCATCTTAGACTCTTTGAGTCAGGAATGATACAAAATGGCAGTAGTAATTATAGTGGGTTCATACAACACCCCCTGACACTTAGGAGCCAATAAGCAATTAATGTGGAGCGTGGGGAACTGGTTAACGGTTCGAAAGTGAACGGGAGGCAACAGAAGTTTCGCACTGAAGCGATGCAAGCTCAAGGCCAACGGCTAGATAAGAGGCAGAAGCGAGAAGCAGCTGCAGAGCATTACACGTTTCAAAGTCGGGGGGGGGAACCCCATGGAGGGACTACCTGACATCCCGCCACCCAGCCCCCCCCCGGCTTGTCAGGAAAGCAAGAGTGGAAGAGGATGACCAAGCGAGGAGCCTGCACATC